AGCCGCCTGTCGCTGGGAGCCGGGGGCCGGGCCACGCCCGGGGTCTTCCGCAGCCTGAGCGGGGGGCCGCTGGGGCGCCGTGGAGAGGACACAGAGCCCCTGGAGAGCCCGCCGTGCTACGAGGACGCCCTTTACTTCCCGGTGCTCATCGTCCACGGCGATGGCGGCTGCCAGGGGGATGGGCAGGGTGCGCTCTGAGACCCCCGGGGCCCCCAGAGCAGCCCCTCCCCGCCATCCCACTGTGGGCTTACAGGCCTCAGTAACTGTTGTCCAAACAGACCAGCCACACACAAGGGGTGGGGGTCGGGATGGGGGGGCCCTTAAAAGGGACTAAAATGCAGTGTCCCGTGGTCATTTTGGGAAAATGGATGCCACCTAAATTGAGTCTATGACCCGTCCCCAGCATGGCTCTCCCCACCCCCACCACATTCTACCCCTTGTGAAGGCAGATGATCTGGCCTCTCACACCGGGCAGGGGAGGAAGCTTCCAGAAAGTCTGGGATGAGACAGGAGTCCTGGGGACAGCTGTTGCCTGCAGCAGAGGCCTGTTTGTGGGCGCTTCCCTGCTGCGGCTGAGGCTATGTTGGGAGCTCTCGAGCAACCCAGAAGCACAAATTGGTGGTTTGGGGCTGTGCCCAGCTGGGATGGTCTCCTCGAAGCTGAAGAGCTGGGTATGGTGGCACCCCAGCCTTGGCCCTACTACCTGCCCAGAGTTCCCATCCTCCTCCCCATAAGTCCCTCCTTGCCTGCCCTCTCACCTCGGCTCAGGGTCAGTCCAGGATAGGACCCTGCGGTGTGGCCCCCTCCACTGGGGGCCTGGTTCTTGGAGCACAGCTTTGCCCCACCCCCCCCCCACTGTTTTCCCCGGTGCTCAGTGCACCCCCCACCCACATCCAGCTCCCCTCCAAGCCGGGGTTCCTTCTCAGGGCCCCAGCTCTGCCTCCCTATCCCCCTGGTCTCTGCTCCTGCCTCCCGGAGTCCATGTCTGCCTCTGTCAGCCATGCACAGCCTCCCGCTTGTCCTCTCATCGCTTCCCGGACTTCTCTGCTTCTCGCCTTCCTGATGATCCCACAGGACCCACAGGGCATCCGAGGGGCCCCAGCCTCAGCCACAGCCTCTTGGACGATGCCCTTGCTCTGCCATGGAGGCCCCTGCTTCTCCCATTGGTGGGGCCTGGCCCAGGGGACACCATCCTTCACCCAGGGAGGAGAAAGTAGTCCCTTCCCTTCCAACTGGAGCTTCCACCCAACTCAGGGGCTGGTGGGGGAGGGAGGAAGCAGAGAAGATGCAGATTAAATAAAGGTATGAAATGGAAGGTCTTCTCATGGCATTCCTGAGTGGTGGATACAGGACCACCACTACAAGTGCGACGGGCCACCTTGGGTCATGGTACAATGCTGGGTTCTGGGAGGGGACTCAGTGTTGGGCTCCAGCATTCCCAGGAGCTGGGTAAGCTGAGAGGGAGCCTCCCTGCCAGCCTGGGGCCTCTGAGACCTAAGTTTGAAGCTCTGAGCAGCTGACTCCCTCGACTCTGGTTGCTGAGCCTGGATCACTTCTGTGGTGTTGTGCAAAGTGGCCTTTCTTCCAGCTCGGTGGAGGATTCCATTCTGCTGCTGGGCATGCTGAGGACTCAGGGAGTGATGGCTGGTCCCCAGAGTGGGGAGAAAGAGCTGTGACCTGTGGCTCGAGTTCAGTTCCTTCAATGGCGATTGATGTCATCAGCCTGGGGAAATGGGTGCTGAGCAGGTTGGAAAACACAAAGTCAGAAACAGCCAGCCCCAAATCCGGGCAGGCTGACCTGAGACCTAAAGAAAGAAAACAAGGTCAGAGGAAGGGCCTTCCTCACTGATGGAGCTCAGAAGGGTCCCTGGGAGTGGCATCTCCACGTGTACAGCTGTGCAGGGTGTTTGCTGTGCAAAGTCATTGGGCTGAGGGGCAAGTGTGGGTGAGATCTGGCCTATGGGCCACTCCCAAGGCCTGGCAGGGAGCTGCATCCACTTGGAGAAAGGGCATCCTTTTCTAATCTGCGCAAAGGCACCAGAAGGGATTGTGGTGGCCCTAGTAGGGTGCTGGGAATGGGTGGGATTTCCCCAAGCAAAGACAGGGCAGAGGGTGTTCTGGGCAGTGCCAGAACAAGGGCCTGGAAGCAGGGCACAAAGCAAGCTGTGAGGAGGAGGTGGAAGCAAAGAGTCATGGAAGAGTTGGTTGAGGCCTTCCGTGCCAAATCCCAGAATTTGTCTTTAAACTGGGGCAAATTGGAGCCAAGGAAGGTGTTGAGCAGGAGAGGAATGAGGTCAGGGCTGCACATCAGGATGTTTAGCAAAGGTCCAGCTGCCTGCTGGCTACGTGGGGAGGTTGGAGTTAGAGACCAGAGCTTGCCCTGTGCATCAGCCCACTTCCTCACTGCTCTGGGAGTTAAGTCAATTCTTTGTTCAAATGCAACTTAAGTGGAAAGCCTTATGGCGCCCAAACACTCAAGAAGGCTGCAGCAGGCAGGGAGGCCAGTGTGCTGGTTCCAGCTCCTCCCTGGGGGGAAGATTTCCCTCTTCTATCATTCTGCACTAACACCAAAGCCACCAACTGTCCACTGGCCGCTTTCCATTTTCCTCCCTTCCTCAATAGCAGAGCCCTGCTTCTACTTCAGATGACAATAATCCCAATGAAAAGGTGACATTTCCAGCCTCCCTTGCACACATGTCTGTGATTGTGTGACTTAATTCTAGGATATGAGATATAAACAGAAGGTGTTGGAAGGGATTTCTAACAGTACTCCTTGAGGTAGAAACAATATTGGTGAAGCCATTTTTGTGCCCTCTGCTTCATCCTGCTTTCAGACTGGAATGCATGTGTGATAGCTAGAACTCCAGCAGCTATCTTGGATCAGGAGGTGCCTTGGATTGAGTGTCCCCCCACAATTCAACCCCCACTGTGACAGTGTTAAGAGGGTGGGAAATCCTATTATGGTAACTGAAAGGTGGGGCCTTGAAGAGGTGACTAGATTGCAGGACGATGCCATAGTGAATGGATTAAAAATGGTGACATGGGCATGGTTTGGAGAGCTTTAAAAGGCGAGTGCATGGGGAGGTTGGTCTCTCTCTGCTCCACCATTTTTGCAATGTGATACTTTGCCATCACTGAAGTCACCACCAAAGAAAACCTTACCAGGCGTGTTCCTTGGACTTTGGACTTCCAGCCTCTGAAACTGTAAGCAATAAATTTTGTTTTCTTATAAGTTGCCCAGTTCCAAGTATTTTGTTATAGGCAACAGACATGGACTAAAACAGGAAGTGACCTTCAAAACTGTTAGTCATGTGCTGAGGATAGCAGAGTTACAAGATAAAAGATCTGGGCCTCTGGTGACACCACAGAGCTTCTGTATCACCCTGGGTTGCTACCTCCAGATTCCAGTGAGAAAGAGAAACTTCAAGTTTGTCTAAGACACTGTTTTTATCTCTATTACTAGCAGCCTTTTTAATTTATATACTGCTGCATAACAAATTATCCTAAATTTAATGGTTTAAAATATGCTGTCTCTTGTCTTCCATGGGTCAACAATTCAGACAGAGCACAATGGAGATGACTTGTCTCTGCTCCACAACATCTAGGGCCACTGCCGGAGACTCGACAGCTGAAGGCTCATTCACTCCCATGTCTGGTAGTTGGTGCTGGCTGTTGGCTGAGAGCTGAACTAAGGCTGTTGGCTGCAACAACCACACAGGGATTCTCCATGTGGCTTGGGCTTCCTCATAACATGGTGTCTAGATTCCAAGGTCATGTGTACCAGGAAGGTTGATGCTGTATTTCCCTTTATGATCTAGCCTCAGAAGCCACACAGCATCACTTCTTCCCCTTTCCATTTGTCAAGGCTATGACAAAGGTCCACCTAGACTCAAGGGGAGGGAACATAAGATCCCACCTCTCGATGAAGGCTTGTCAGTGTCACATTGTAAAATTACCGTGTGGAATGAGAAATATATTAGTGGCAATTTTCAAATATGTAATCAACCACTGAGCCAAATGCCACTCCTAACTGATTGATATCTATAGCGTAGGCTATAAAATGGATACCAACCTTTTTAAGATGCTGGCTTGAGGGAGGAGGCTAGTGGCGGGTCACATGTGAGCCTACTGGGACCAGAGTGACCTGCTCAGGTCATTTATTGGGGCCTTCAGGCCTGCATAGATTAAATATGGCCACAAATTCTTTGCTGCTCCTCTCCTCAAGAGGTAGAATCTATTTCCAAGTCTGGGCTGATCTTGTGACTTGTTTTGACCAATGGAATGTGGTGGAAGAGATGCTGGGCAACTTCTGAGGCCAGGTCTCAAGAGCCATCGCAGCTTGTGCCTTTGCTCTCTTGTAACCCTGAGACCACCATGCTGTGAGGACATCCAGCCTCACCTCCTGACAGATTTGAGGCCAAGTGGAGCCCTGACCTCATTCCTCTCCTGCTCAACACCTTCCTTGGCTCCAGTTTGCCCCAGTTTAAAGACAAATTCTGGGATTTGGCACGGAAGGGCTCAACCAACTTACAGAAGGGTGAGAAGTAAGAAATTCTTGTTTTAAGCCACTACATTTTGGGGTGATTTGTTACATGCAATGGATCACTGATTCAAGGTCCCGGATCCACTTCTACCTCATGAGGGAGGGCACTGTGTCTGCACAACCAGGTGGAGAGGGGATCAGAAAGCCCGGTGCTTGATGGACAGCCCCCATTTCATGGAGCCCCGGTGTCTCTTGTTCACGTGTTCAGTCTCTCTTGGAGCCGACATCAAGCCAGGATGTTCCACTGTAACCCACGCTCAAGAGGAGAATTAGTGCCTGAAGGCTGCAGAGCCTCTGCTCACTGATCGAAGCCTGCCAGGGGCTACACACACCTTGGCCAAAGCAGAACACCTGATTTCCACCCGCCACCCGACCCCACTCCTCTCTCCGTGTTCCCTCAGTCAGTAGCGCCCCCACTCATCTAGGGGCTTACGCCACACACCTGAATGGTAATCCTTTTCTTCTTTCTTTAAAACTTTGCGTTATGTAAAATTTCAAACATCACAAAAGTAGAGAGATTGGGGGAAGGAGGCCCCTTGTCCCGAGCAGCCAGCGCTGCGGCCATCAGTCACCCATGGCCACTCTTGCTTCGGCCCCACACAGCCCCACTTCTCCTGGCTCCAACTGGATCATTTTGAAGATCTAGAAATTGTACCATTTCATCCGTGAATACCTCCCTCACTGCCACCACCCCCATGAATTTTTTTATTTTTTATTTTTTATTTTTATTTTTTTCCTTTTTGTCTTTTTTCGTGACTGGCAACGGATCGCAACCCTCAGTGTCGCGCCCGTACCGGACCGGGACCGGCCACGGGATCACAACCCTCGGTGTTGCTCCCGCACCTCGCTCAGCCAGTGAGCGGCCAGTCTGTACGTGGGATCCGAACCCTCGGCGGGAGCGCCGCCACACTTCCCAAGCGGCGCACTGTAGCAGTGCGCCACTGGGCCGGCCCCAATTTTTTTTTTTTTTTTTTTAAAGATGACTGGTAAGAGGATCTTAACCCTTGACCTGGTGTTGTCAGCACCACGCTCAGCCACTGAGCCATGGGCCGGCCCTCTCCCATGAATTCTACCACCCAGGATGCTACCCACGCCACATCTCTCTAAACTGCCCCCATCTCCTCTCAACCCCAAGCCACCACCTTGCTCTGGGCCCCCAGGGTCCTTCCCCCATGATTCTGTGGCCGCTGACAGGCTTCCACGTCCACTCGCCCCTCCAGCCTACACAGAGCCCTGACATGTAAATCACGTCATCACGTCTCCATTAGTCTCGGAAGCCACCTCCCCCTGACACCACTGTTACTCCTTACCTCAGCTCCCTCAGCATTTCCTTCCTGCCACTCACCGTAAGTTGCAATTCCTTTTATTTATATATGCATGGGTTTCTTTATTATCTGTTTCTTCTATTATAATTAAAGCTGTGGGAGGCAAATGGTCACAGGTGCAGACCCTTGAGTTGATGGCATCCTGACTCTACCACTATGACCGAGTGGCCCTGGGCAAGTCACTTTTCCTCTCTCTGCCTCAGTCTTCCCATCTGTAAAATGGGAGACGACAATAGAATCTACTTGCTTCAGGGGGCTGTCATAAGGAATAAACAGGATGCTATGCTTAAATCACGATCTGGAGCATAGGAGGTGCTCAATAAATGTAGCTATTGCCATCGCTTGTATTATTATTAATTACAAATGGGTGGGGTGTGGTCAGAGCAGGGGGCTTGAAGAATGGTTCCTCTGTTTACAACATACCCCAAAGGAATCTGGCATCATTGT